ATATACTTTAATCAACCAATTTCCGAACTAACCGATTTTGTTTTTTTTTGTTTTGTTTATTGCTTGTTTTCTGATGTTTTGTTTTTGTTTGATGTAACCAATGAATTTATAACCAATTTTATTATTTACACTTTGCTACACTGATGCCTCGGCTCTTTATTGTATAGTAATTCTCTCTCTCTCTCTCTCTCGGGTATTCACCCTGTTAGGGTCCCCCATGTCGCTTTCTACAGCTCCTGGTCATATGTCTCGCTAGGTTGGTTGCTGATACCATTTTGTTGCACATTGGACATTCCTTTGTTGCCGGGACGTACTTGGTTGGGCTTGTTGTTCCTCGACATTTCTTCTCGTGATTCTTCAGGTTTGTTTTCGTTGGGAATTTGGCGTGGCATTTGATGCACGTATGTTCTGCGTTCTCTCTGTGCATTCTTCTTATATGCACTGCCCGATCAGCTCTAGATTTGCAGACTTTTTCGCATTGGCTACACCCGAGATTGACGCTTTCCTCTCTTTGTGAGCGTTTTATTATGCCTCCTTCCCATCCATTCTCTTGGGATTCCTCCCATCTTTCCAGATGTGTCATTCTGTTCTTTATAATTGTTTTCCATTGCTTTCTGTCTTTTGCCATCTCTTCGATATCTAGTTGGTCAATTCCTGCTTCGCACATCAATTTGATCCATTGTCTGGGAGTACAACGGTACTTTGCTCTCGGTTTTTCAGTTTCTTCTAACTTGCTTAACCAACCAAAAGTTACGTGCTTCACTCTTCTGTCGTCGGGCATACGTATCATATGTCCTAGGCGTTCCATACTCCGTTTTTCGATTTTACTTCTGACTGATCTTATTCTGAGTTCTTTCCTTACATTCCAACTGTTTTTGTGTTTTTGTTCCATTTCCTTCAGCTGTGGTTGGGTTTTTGAACTCCAAACATAACGGTAACATTGGTCTACCTTCCTTTGGATTCTGTTTATTTCTGACACATTCCAGGTCCGTACTTGGCAGTTGTACAACATGGTGCTTTCTACTACTGCCTCAACTACACGCGCTTGCGTTCTTTTAGTTAACCTTGAGTTTTTGAGGCGTCTTTTGACCTTTGTCCAAGCTCCCATCCCGCGTTGTAATCGTACTTTTGTGTCTTCAGCTTCTCCCAGCCAAAGGCCCAAGAATCTGGTTCCTGCCGCACTGGTTTCACCAAGAGTTATGTTTTCCTCTTTAGAATCGTTTGTCTTTTCCTCGAAGAGGCCCATTACTCTTTTGGTGGTGTCTCTTGCGACATCCATACTTTCCCTATTACTCAAGATAGTAGTGTCATCAGCGAACAAGGCGTATTTGAGGTCTATATGCTTCGCTTCAGCATTTTGTTTGTCTCTCCTTTGTGTCATGCAGGTGTTTCCAGGTACGTAAGTGATTCTTATTCCATTGTCTTCCCTTTGTTTTTCTGCTGCTCTTATTGTGATCTGATGAAATATGTTGAAAAGCATTGGGGAAGAAGGACATCCCTCTCTCAATCCTCTTTGAGGTATCCATTCGGAGCTAACTTCCTTATTACCTTTCACTTTGTAAGAAGTTACTTCGTGTAGTTCCTTTAATCGTCCTAGGAAATTATCTTCGAACCCATAGCTTTCCAGTATTTTCCACAATAGTGGTCGATTGATTCTTGGATAAGCTTTTCTCAGATCTAATAGGCACGCTCCGTCTCTATTCAGACTTTGTGATTCGCATATCCTTCGGTTATCTTCCTGTAGTCTGACCATTATTTGGGTGGTGTCGGCCGTAGATCTGTGTTGTCTGAAACCATCTTGATTATCATCTAGGGCGCCAAATTCCTCGCCCCAATCCCGGAGTCGTGTTGTTAAAATTCTAGCGAGAATTCGGCTCACCATGGATAACAGGCATACACCGCGGAAATTATCGGGGTTGTCCTTCGCTCCTTTCTTGTGCAGAGGAATAATGATTCCCACTTTGACTATATCATCCCAATATTCCGCTGATGTTGTGAACATGGTTTGTATCACTTTTACTATTCTCTTTTGGAATTCTATTGGAGCTGACTTCAGGTAGATCATTCGGATGTCGTCCTCGCCCGGTGCTTTTTCCTTAACCTTCGCCCACTCTTTGATAATTTCTTCTTCTGAAGGCATTGTACTGCACTCCTTGGCCTTTTGACGTCCCTCCGGTGTCGTTTGAGCGAACTCTCGTATGAGCCTCCTCGACTGGATCTTCTCTGTCAGTCCATTTTCTTCGCGTTTTTCTTGCACTTTCTGGAAGTGTTGCTTAAAAGTTTCCGCTGGGATTACTGTTGCTTTAGAATTAGGTACTGCGTAATCTCTAAGTCCTAGCTGCTTGAGGATGCTGTACATCTCCCCGATATCTTGCCTACGCATAGCTTCCTCGCATTTGACTAAGAGAGCTTCCCACCATTCTGTTTCCCACTCTCTGAGTCTCTGTTTATACTCTTTTCGTACTGTTTTAAGCTCTTCCCTTGCATTGTACCTTTGCACCTCGTTTGTTGCCTCGTTCCGTTTTTTGACTGCCCTTTGAATTCCGCTTTTGAACTCTCTTGCTTGGTCTTCATGGCCTACCATCCATTGACTGGTTTTGCTTCTTGTATCTTCTAACCCACAAGCAGCCTTGGCTGCCCTTTTCATGGTTTCTGCTAATTCTGTCCAAGAGGGTTCGTTTGAAAGGGAGGCCTTGCTTATGTGTTCCTGATACGCATCATGATGTTTTTTGATGCGTAGCTTCCGCCAGTCTAATTTCTCTTGTTTTGTACGGTTGAATCTTTCCTTCTTTTCTCTGAAGCTCACTTTAATCATCTTGGGCCTATGATCGGACCATCTGTCTTCCCGTACCACCTTCATATCTTTGATGATTAAATTTCTGTGTCTCTTAGCTAAGAAGTAATCCAGCTCGTACCAATTACCTGTTCTTGGATGACACCACGTACCTCTATTATTCTTTCTAAAGTAGGTGTCCACGATGTACAGGTTATTGTTTTCCGCCCACTCGACGACTTCGTCTCCTGCTACCGAGTTTGCTCGTAACCCGAACTTTCCCAGAGTCCTCTCTTTTCCCGTATTATCTTGTCTGCCTATTTGAGCATTGTGGTCTCCTCCTATGAGCAACATTTCGTCCTTTTTCCTACACGATATCGCTGTCTCTAGCTGTTTTCGGTATTCGTCGATTTCTATATCATTCGGCGATACTGGCTGGTAGACTGCGATCAGCTTAACGTTGTTCACTGTTACCATGGCTACTCGTTCGGTCAACCATTTTTGGCTCCCTTGCTTCTTCCACTCTTGGGCCCAATGGTTTCTTAAGATAATACCGGCTCTTTTCCCATGGATTAGGACTGAGTCCTCTTCGTACCACCATACCCCCTCCTCTTTTGAGGATATTTCCGACAGCAGGATAACATCCCATTTGTTCTCCTGTACTGCTGCTAGGATATGCTGAATTCGACCTCGTCCATCCACCTGGATTTTGCACCTCTGCAGGTTCCACGTGATTATCTCAGAGTCAAAGTTGGTTCTCTTTGAGAATTTCTGGTTCACTTTCCTTCTCCACCGTTCTTTCTCTTTCTTTCTCGCTTTCCCCGTTAGGTGCTCCTTCCCTACTTTGCTCCGGTTTGCTAGCATACGCGTCCATTTGGAACCTCTTTTTTCACTGCGTCTTTCTTTCCTCTTCCGTGCTCGCATCTCCCGAAGCTTCTGTTCAGCCCACCTGTTGATGTCCACTGTCCTCGGCCCGGGGTTCGGATGTATGTCCATCAGGCACCATTTTACAATCCTAGCCTGGTGTCGTTCGTCAACCTTGAGCACCCGGCCGTTGAGGCGACTTTTATAGCCTACAGGTTGTTTTAGGAGGTGCTCGGTTCGGCTATTGCCGGGCCGCTCCCTTCCCAAAAAGGGTCCTTGAAACGATTTCCTTGCGTAGTCGTTTCCTCTTCTCCTTCTTGAGGTGATGTTGCTTTTGTGGTATCGCTTTCCACCGCGCGTAGGTACAACATCTGGGAAGCATGTATAGTAATTCAAGTTTTCTTTCTTCTTCTTCTTTTAATGAGGAAAAAGTGTCTCTGGCCCTCGAGTCAAGTGTGACTTCACTGAACGACTGTTACATCTCGAAAAGCTCAATAAAAATGTTCTAGTCGTCTCAACCGCTTCAATGTGAAAAATTCAAGCCCTTACAAAAATTGGGAACCGATAGATTAGGGTATTTTTTATTCAACTGGGGCGTTATTGTATGACCAAATAAATTTTTTGAAAAGATTAGTGTATTTTTTAGATTCAACTGGCGTTATTGTATGACCAAATAAATTTTTTGAAAAGATTAGTGTATTTTTTAGATTCAACTGGCGTTATTGTATGACAAATCAATTTTTTCAGTAAAAAGAAATGCTGGAGAGTCTAAATACGATGAGATGATTGCTATTGATTAGTCGCTTTGCTCGAGTTGCAATTTAAAACTTTAATGAAAATGCAATATCCAACTGGCTCAAATCAAATGTAAGTGTGTTTTTTAAATTTTTTGAATATTAGCTAATCAGCAATAAACCTGTTGAAAAATGACTGTTTCAGAAAAGGTTCAAAGAATTGGGCAGACCGTAGCCCTGTTTCTTCGACGTTTTTGCAGCGTAAAGTCACGTCTCACAGCTCATATAAGAATCTGCATCCTCCAAATGCACTGCCGAGCTATACGACATTCGAAAATGCCAACAGTAGAGCCGTATTAGAAATGTCTCGCCAGTCGGGAAGGAGCGAGGACTGTTATGTCAATCTTAGAAATATAATGGGAACAAAGCCTTCATCTCCTGCTAAGCATTCCAAGAACACGTATAAAACTTTTCCTTGCTTCTTGAAAGCCGTAACACATTTTTATTGCTTCATTTGCTCAGCGATCATATTTTTCCCGAGGACATGAAAGTGTCAGTTATTTGAGCGCTCTTAGCTGAATTTAGTTGAAAGTCCTAACTTAATCGATTTATGCACTGCTTATTAAACTTATTAAATATAAACTTATAAATAGATTTCTCTTCCCTCGTTCAAACTGTGTGTTTTCAGAAAAGTTGTAGCTAGGAACAAGAACACCTTATTCGAAGCGAAAAAAGTCCCGGTACTACTATGATAGTGGTCCCTTGAAAATAACCAGGTCCCTTGAGAATACGACACCTAGAGCTCTCAAATCGTTTAATAATTATGATTACGCCTTTCAGAAAGATGTCGCAGTATATTTTCAAACAAATTTCATGTTTTGTTACCTCTCAAACCTCCCCCTCGCCCTTTTAATGTTGAAAATTTAAAAAAAAAACCGCCGATAGTGGGTTTTGATGACGAATAAGTCAACCCTATTATATGGTTGTTAAACCGTAAAATAAAGTAAAGCGAGCAAATTTCAATATATAAACAACAATGATTACAATTTTCAGTCTGAAAAGTTTTAGGCTGAACATATTTTGCAAGATTTTTGAATTGAATAATTTATGCACAAATTAGTTTTCAAAATTATAACATGCGAAATGCATGCGGGACCTGTCTATGATAGTTGCTTTTTCGAGGGACCACTCTATCATAGTAGTACCAAAGTCCCGTCCGTTCCTAGCCGTGGATGGGTGAAAACCAATGAGATTTCACATATTCAAGAAATCGTCGTCGCAACACTTGCTGATCGGAGACTCACAATTGAAGAATCTAACTTTCCCAAATTTCAATATCCTCAGCCTTCCTGGTGCAGGTATCGCGGATATTCTAAACTTCTTGCCCCGCAAGAACGAATACTGGGGTCCACAGCTGAAAATTGATTTTTAATCGTTTTTTTTATTTGGTCCCAATTTTTGTCGGTTTACTCGCCGGGTCAGGTTATTTCTGTATTTGTTTGTCGACTTTTTCAGTAATTTTTTCTTGATTTTCCAAAGGGTAATTTGAATGCATGTTTTCCTAGTTTTTGCCCACTCCAAAAATTTCGTAGAGAAAAAATAAAATGAAATTTTTTTTACAAGCATTTACAATTTTTTTCGGATCCATTGCTCTGATTTTTTTGGTCGAAAAGTGCGTGAAATTAATTTCTTTTATTATCTGTTGATTGTCAATTAGGATTGAGCCATTTCATTCGAAATCGACTCAAGTTGATGGCATAGTCTATTGTTTCAATGTGTCAAATTTTTTTGGAGAAACAAATCCGTTGTTCAAGTTTTTCAGAATGTTTTTTTTTTGCAAATTTGAATTGACTGTTTGTCCACAAATTTATGTGGCAAGTTTTGTGTGGTTCTTTCTGGCTGAATTTTTGGATAAAGAATGAACATACGATTTTTTTTGTTTCTTTTATTGGTCTTTTTTTATGATTAATTATTGTGTCGTTGTTAGTAGCTGCTTACAAGCATCGATTCATCTGCAGCCCCAACTCGCTTTTTTGATTATTTTCAGTACGCTACAATCGTAGTTGTGGAGAATGATTTGCCGCATCGTCTCGTCTTTCAAACAGTGATTGTGGCAATCCCAGGGTTTGCTAAGAGCGGGAAAGCCCCCTATTCCAGTTCTGCGTTAACTTCTGTTCTAGGGGAACAGTTTTGCTTAAGAGAACCGAGCGAAATCCCGTGCCTGGTTCTGGCGGGCAGTCTTTTTTAGTGCGGAGAACCGAGAAAAATTTCTAATGTTAGTTGGTTTCTGATGAACCTACAAAACTCCTGTCCAGATTTTATAATTGAAGTCAGTCTGCGACTTCGACAGGTTGGTTCCACAGGTCGTCTATTTTTAGTGTTATTGCCATGGCCGGACAGTTAAGAAGGAAAGGTACGTCACAAGGACTATAAAAACAGTTATTGTTGTCTTCATCGATTCTCGATAAGTAGCTGTTGAGATGAGGGTTATATCCGCAGCACAGTTGAGCAAGAAGGTATCTGGTACGAAGAGGAAGGCGACTTTCTTCCTGTGCACCATAATTGAGAACACTACGTCCAACAGCTTTATAAGTAACACAAAGTATTTCTATACTGTAACCACAGTTAGTACCAGAAAGTTTTCCAGTAAGTTGTTCCTCGTTTTTAGTTTGTTCATAATGTTACTAATGTGGTATTTAAAAGACCAAAATTATCAAAAGTTGCCAGGATTTTGGGTTTTTGCCTGTTGGTAACCAATTCTCCTTCATGCCGACATCAGTTTTGTGTTTGTTCCAATTTGTGAGGACAGTTGGTGTGGTTTTGTCGGCTAAAAGTTAAAGATTTCGACTTTCCATCCAGTTCTAGAGTTCTTTTAAACATGGTTGGACGGTTGTATCTAGTTTTGAGATATCAGGACCTGTTGTAGTAATGGTGATGTTATCAGCATAGGTGGTAATTTTTTGTTGTTTGATGATGGGAAAGGCATAGAGGACATGTAGATATTAAACAGGACCGGCGATAATACTCCTACTTGAAGAACCCGTTGTTTCATTCGTCGCTTTTTCGGTTTTGTATCTAACTTCTACATAAGTAGCGCGTCCTTGTAAATATGGTGTGATCCATCTTTTAGTATTGTTCGATAAGTTAGAAAGGATGTCTTGCAGCAAGATACCTTGATCAACTCTGTCGAAAGCTGCGGTAAGATCAAGAGCGATCAACAGCGGTCTCGGTTGGTTAAGACCATTTTTAATGTCAGTAACAATGCAGTTAAGTGCAGTGTTCGTGGATCTATTTTTCCTAAAGCCATGTTGATGGTCGGCAAGTTTGAGGTTTTAAAACTCATTTAGTAAAATTCTTTCAGCTTTGCAACTGGAGACAGGAGTGCAATCGGCCTGTAACTTTTCGTCTCTTCTGTTTTTCCCGTTTTAAGGTGGAATTATTTCTCCAAGTCTCCAGTTCTGCGGTATGATTGATGAATTTAAAGACATATTTATAATGTTATAACTCTTTTTTTCTAACTTCAGGCGCAGGCCATTGGCGTTTATTTTCAACATTTTGATGTTTGAATCTTTGTTGTTTGGTTGCTTGAAAGGGGTTTTATGAGGGTTCTTGGTTGGGGCGTTCTAGTTGTTTTTTGTTGGGGCGTATTAGTTGTTCTTCCTTGGGGTGTTTTGATATTTGTTGGGGTTTTAGGTTGGGGAGTTTGAGATAGAGATAGAGGTGAGTTGTTTTTGCAGTAAGAGCAGTTTTGGCAGTTAATCTTCGGACCACGAGGTTTTACGAAGTGATGCGCACGATTGGTGAACCCGCCCGTAGGTGGCACCAAACACTTCTGTGTGCTCTCGTTATTCTTAAATAACAAGTTGAGCAGGTGTAGATTGCAGGCCCAGGGGAACTTTCTATGCCGGATCTGATTAGCAGGATCTCGTTTATTGTGCCAGATGGGTTGTGACGACCTGACTAGCTTCATCCGTTCCTACTGTAAAAACACGTGTTGATGCTGCGTTTGATGACATTTGCGGCAGAGGTTGTACGGCGTGGGTACTGCCACTGAGGCAACCGTACATGGGAACTCATTTTTTTGTGATCCAGCTCTCTTAACGTTGCGCTTGAACTTGATATTCGATAAGTTTGGTGTACTTGGGTTATTTTTATAAGGGAAACTCATCCCATATCATAACACTTCCTTTCGCTCGTGTACTATCTAAAGCATATAAATTAGGATCAACAAAATGGGACGAATAATTTATAATAAACTATTCCGCTTTGGCATGAACAACTCGACTCTGCTGTCTTAACAACTCATCATCTGATTGGCTAGCTTCAATTGTGTCAATTGACAAAAACTTCTTTGATTTCGACAAATTGAACAAATCACATCGCTCATCATTTTCGTCTTTTTCATCGTCACTAGTCGTCAGTTGATACGCTGGCAAGTCGACTGTACTATTTTCAGTAAACAGTGGACCCTGTCCGATTTCAGATTGATTTAATTGTTCTAAGGAGGCGCTCAAAATAGGTGTATTTTCTACGGGCGAGTGTTGGAGGTCTTCTCGTTGTTTACTGCTTTCGTTGATTGATGGATTGCTTTGGGTTACCTGGATGTAGTCGAGGCTGAGGCTCGGAAGTTCGTCTAGTTCTCGGAAGAGAACCTGAAAAATTAAATCATTCACGACTAATTAGCTCATTCACCTCAAATTACTTCATTCACTGCAATTTATTAGATCATCATTAGATCGTTTGAAAAAATTATACTTAAGAACGCGTTGAAACAATTTATTTAGGAGAAAACCAATTCATCTCGGAATATATCAAAAACTTGAAAAATTTGATCCAAAATTATTTTCGAAGCCATTTTGACAAAATTTCTCAGCTTAGGTCACAGCTAGGTCAAATGCTAAAACTAAAATTAACTTGCCGTTTTAGCCGGGTCTCCTTCCGCCGTGATCAACTGTGCAGTCGTATCAGGCAACGACTGGCTATGAGTGTATCTATTGTGCAGATTCACTCCACTATTACTGCCACTGATAGTCGTTGTCTTCTGCTGGTGTGGGTTGTTCGCCTGATATGTTTGATTCTGACTGTGAACTGGGGTTGCATTGACCGAGTTGCGCTCTGAGTGTCTTGGACTCTTCGCAGTTGAAGTTTCAGCACGCTGAGATTCACGATGACCTTTGATGATCTACAAAAACATGCAGAAATTAAGGACTTCAAATTATTGGACGATCACTCCTAGTTACAACACGAGCCAGGTATTATGCCAGTATACTGTGAATCTTAATGAAATAAGTTGTATTTTTCACGCCTGATAATCGCTTTCGCTACTAAGCGGAGATACCTCAAGGGATAGCCACAAAAATCAGGTTCAGAAAACTCAAGCTGAAAACTCAAGCTTTAGGAAAAAACTAAAAAGGGCCTTTTTAGTGTTTCTATTTACAATTTAAACTTTCAATTTAACTGGTATGATAATTTGAGAACTGTGAATCTCTGAATAGTTGTTGCGAGCATCAAATCAATTCGTTTCAAGCTTCGATTCGTTTTCTGTTGATTTAAAAAATCAAACTTGACTGTTCTCTACGTGTAGCTTACCCGGCACGACTGTTTGAGGACTGTGATGCTGGTGGTGAATTTGATGGCAACACTCACTGGCAAAATCACTGCCACGCTGCACAACACCGTCAACACATCCCCCAACAGAATCTAAAACAACGCACACGCACATTTTCTAGTAATCAATTCAGCGATCATGTCCAACTATTATCACTTCTGTACAAAAAAATCAGGACTTCTGCATTGAAGTTCTGCAGTAATTTATACCTAGTATTTTCATTATCCATTGAATACTTATTCAAAACTCAGTTTTTTTAAGGCTTGGGCGCCGTAAAAGTTGGGCTTTGCAAAACACAAGCAAAAAAAATTCTCAGAAACAAATAAACTACTGATTTGAAGACTTTTTTCAACGTAATAAAAACCTCTTGTTCAACTCGAATTGATCGGTCTCTAAACACATTCCTAATTTAAACCAATTTCTAAATACGCTCTCATTTTTAATTGATACTTTCTGGAATAACAATAAGTGTACGATTATTTTTAAACGATTATATGAATTCAAATAAAAAATTATTGGAATTGAAAGAGATATTTTGATTTATGTCATGCCTGGTCGAATGTCTTGAAGAGAACACAGACAAGTGGGATGGGGTTATGGCCCATCTTGCGGGTGACTACGTCACAGTGCTCAGACACAGAGTCCTTCTTCTTACTCGACATCCAGTCCATAGCCAGACTCAGTCTGTACTCTGCAATCAGAGAGAGAAAATATCATCTTTGTAGCATGCACCAAACTGCTAACTACTTCAATCCCTAAGAGTAACTCCCTCAGCCAAGTTCGATCAAGTCGGTGTGGTGTAGTCTAAGGTTTAAGACGCTGATTCTTAAACAGCTCGTACAACTAGTATTCAGAGACATAGGTTCGAGACTTGTCACCGCTTGACTAAATTGGTTATCAGATCGAACAGTTTGCTAGAATTGATACAGTTTTACAGTTTAAAAATGCTCACATCAAACCAACTTTTAACTTGGATGCAATAACGTTTCTTTTTCAGGATACTCTTTACTGAATCAGCTTGTTGAAAACAGCCGAAAATTTGTTGAAACACCTATTTATTCATGATTTTCAACACAAATGATCAGAAGTTGCAGCATCCCACCGCAAGTATAACCACCTTTTTAGTCTGAAAAAAGTCCAACCCCCTTGTTAATTGTCAAGTCCCTCCGTTCCCATTACAAAATAACTATTGCATATTAACTACAAAAGAATGCGTCATTCACATGCAATTACCCGAGTATATATCGGCAGGTATCTCGTTGAACTTGGCGATGAAGCAGTGCTTGACCCAGTCGACCACTATCTCAGAGAATACGACCAGTGCCAACTCTGGCAGCAGCTGGCCTAAGTAGACCACGTCCCAGTGCAGTTCCCGCAGATTACGCACACACACTATGACCAGCAGCACCATTCTACACACACAGAAAGACAACTATCAGAAAGTATATAGCATAGCAAAAAGTTCCGACAGACAGAAGTGAAAAAATCTATCTTTTGCATTTTGACAGGGAGTTCTGCAGACAATTTTGATGTCTCAAACAACATTAAAAGATGAATTCTGTCTAAAGCACTAGCTTTCACGTACACAAACAGGCCAACATGAAAAAAATATAGTACGAATCAGTGATGTATAAAATAAAAAAATAAAATAAATATTAAAATTGCTGATAAAAAAACAAAAACTTTCGCCACGACACAAATTGTTTATTTAGTTGAAAATCGCACGCACAACAAAAAAAAAGATCACGTGCATAGGTAGCGAGGCTGGTAGGTAAGCAATGCGCTCCCTCCTCAATTTTGTTTGCCATTCCAGTTTGGTACTAACTTACTATGTCCATTTTTGACCAACAAAAAGTTTCTTAAGGTTAAAAAACTTTACTTGAAAATTGAGCAGGCCACAAGAAAAATTGAGCACGCCACTGGTGTACATTTAGAAGCAATTTTATTTGTATAGAGATCAAAAACCCACAAAAAAAAACATACGAATCGCTTAGACATTTTTTCACTTCACTTCCTTATTTATTGACAAAACCGTTTAATTTTTCCCAAAGCAGTTCAGAATATTTATTTGAAACTATAAATTCAAAAACCAAGCCAAAACAGTTGGTAAAGCGTCATAGAACTCAGGTAAGAGTAAAATCTAATTGCTTTTTTGATACTTTCAAAACTCGGAGTAAAAATTATCACGTTGAAGCTCTTTTTTTTTTAAAAAATTTATGATCAACATTTTTTTTATAAAAAGCTTGCCGAAAAAGAGAAAACAAGATTAACGTGCAATTTTAATATTCCGTTGGTAAATCTAAAAAAAAAATTCATTTTCAAACCCAAAATTAATGAATATCATTCAATTTTTTTTTCGAATTAGAAATTGTATTGTCTTTCGTTTAGCATTGAACGTTAAATATAGCTTAGGAAATTAAAAGCTATAGAAGCAAAGTCTTAATCAAAAGCATAGGTAGTGATGATTTTTATAGAAGCATAGTCGCAAATTAGCAGTGAATGGGTAAAGAACTTTTTATTCAAGCCCTGGAAAATCTAGTAAAATTAGTTTTAGCGCCGAACACTTCTAGAATATTATCTTAATTAAAAAAATATATTTGTCATTTTTCGAACAAAAACTGTCTTCCAATTTGACTATTTCATTACGAATATCAGAATCTAGTCTTTCATCACACTACGCACAAAAAATGAAATTAAATTAAAAAAAATTTCTTTTGTAGTTTTTCAAGATTATAGTCGAATCATTGGGTGCTACATGCTCAGCAACCTGCAATCCTTTTTGTAGTTACAATTTATTCACAAAAAATTACGCTCATCTTTTGAATGTTTTCTTTAAAAATTTGTCGTGAACCTTTAATTGTTTTTGATACTTGAAGCTATTTACAAAAAGATTTAAAACATTCAAGCCAGCAATTCAGAGGAACTTATTTTTTGATAGAAAATTTAGATAGCGTGCATTAAATCATGAAAAACTATGCATTAAATAATGAAAAACTACCTCTAAGAATGCTTTCTAAAGATAAATTTTATAAACTTTTGAAACTGTTTTACGTTCTAAGATTTTCGCAAAAAAGTTTACAGAAAACTATTCAAGCGGTCAAAATTTGAAATACGTTAAATTGATATAATAGCTTCAGTAGCTTATTTCTAAAAAAAAATTCAAGCAAGCTGTCAAGCTACTCAATTAAAAAAGGGTACACCAAAAAAGCCATACCAACGCTATATAAATACATCGAAAAAATTTTATGAATAAATCAAGTCTATTTTAATGCATCAAGAGAATTGTCAATTAAAATCTATCCTCCTCGATTACAGCACAGATAGAATTGTCTATGTTGGCTGTATTTTTAGGTTTTTTGCACCCCCTAAAGCAGAGGATTGCACTCCTCAGAAGTGCAAAACTTATTTTTGTTCTTATATAGTTAATTGTGTCCGATTATGATTCGTTCCGTTTTTCGCTTAGTTTCTCTGCTAGTTTCTGGACGGTTTTTGTAGAGCCCGGTGCTGCTCCTCCGGTACACGCAAAAGTTAGTGGAACAAAGCTGCTGTGTTCCACTTCCACAAATCTTTGTTTGTATTTTAATGTTTTGACACTGTCATGATATTTGTAGGCGTCAGATAGTTTTAGGGCAGGATTTAGCATGGGGTTGAAAATTTTTACATCGAAAACCGTTCGGTTGAATCGGCCTCCCCAGAGTCCATTTGCCTTGATGTCAAGTCGAGCGTCATCTTCAGTAGTGGTTGTTTTGTTGTGAAAGCTTTCGCCTTCCAACGATTGAAGTTTCGGCTCTATTTCAACATCATGGCATACTTCGTCCAGGAGTGTCGCAAGGGTATCGCGAATTTCATTATGTCTTAGTTGAGTTTATCCACCTTTAGGACAGTGTAGGGAGTGGGTCAGTGTGAACGGTTGTCCACACGGGCATGTATGTGGGGTGCTTGGTGGTTCCCATCCATATCTCAAATGTAATCCATCTTTAAACTCAGATTTGTTGAGAGAGAAATTGTATTTTTTAGGGGGAGCACGCTTAGCCAATTCGATGCTCCTTTCTGTGACGCTAGATTTATTGTCAGTTTTTTCTCTGATGAGCAATTTTCCATAATTTTAGCCTTTTTTGAGAGTGTGATGTTCTGTTTCTCAGTTTTGATGTTTCTATTTATCAGAGTTTGTTCCGTTTCAGCTATTTCTGTATCACTGTCTTCTAACGGATCACAAATGGCTCGTGACCACTCATAGTTTTTGGAAAAGTCCGTGTTACTGAGGAGGTCCAATTCTCCCATTCTTAGTGGTAGTGCAAAAAGGTTGCGATCTTCATGGTCTTTACCAGTAATACTAGGAAGTAGCTGCTGTCTTACGTTTTTCTCAAATTCATCCTATTTCTTAAAAGCTTCCGGAGTTGTTCTGGTTAGAAAGCTTAATGTCTTTTGAACTCCCTTTGTGTAGCAGGAGTACTCAATTAAAAAGAATAATTACCGCTAGATTTGATAGTTTGAACTGATTCACAAAAAATTAATTTTTCATACAAGCTATTAAGCGATGAAATTTTGGAAGTTATTTTGATTTATTTCAGCTAATCAAAATCTTAATTTTATTGCAAGTAACTACCATGCAACCAAATGAAACTTTGAATCAATAGCTTGAGTCGTAAGAATCTAATTGTAACATTAGATGTAATTGATTGATGAATACATTAAATTTTTTCGAGCAAGCTAATTAGGTCCTGAATTATGAACCTTTTCACAAAATAATCGCAAAAATTATAAAATCTTCTTGCTAGATATCAATGGATGAAGCTTTGAAATATTATGATTTCATCGCTAACAAGTTTTCATTGCTAAAAAAAAACATTTTAAAGCAAGCTTATCAAGCGGTTAAACATTGATATATTATAAAATATCTCATCAAACAATACAACTTCACAATACTCAAACAAACTTCAAAGCTTGAAACTTTTTTAGGCAAGCTCATCAAGAACAAACTTTGAAACGATTCTTTTTGTTTGAAAGCATGAATCGGTTCACAAAAATTTTTAGAGCAGAGAAATAAGAAACTAAAGCTCAATTTCTATATCTCACTCGAAAAGCTGGAAAAATTAGCAAACTCTGAAACTAGGTTTCCGCGGTTTTACTTGCTACACATAATAAAAACACCTGCAACAAGTTCATATCCAAACTTTGCGGGTACTGTCTACTTATAGGTTGAATCAGGATCTTGTCTGATTCGACAAACAAAAAGAATATTCCGGAATCAGAATATTCGTATCAAGCTTAGCTGAGAAAAGTTTCTCAAATGTTAAAAAACGCGCCCAGAACAATTGAAAACGACGTACATTTAAAAAAATAACCCAGAGGCCAAGTGGAGCTTCGGAACACTTGCGATGCAAAAAAATTTCTTGCACATAAGAATTGTTGTCATAAGAAACTTCATTCAGTTTTTAAAATGTTTAGGACCCATGCAATCTGAAACACATAATCGCATGCAATATATTCGCCCTCAAAATTATGCAACAAAAGTTGACTGAGACGAAACAGCAGCAACTGAAACTGTTTAAAAATTTAAAGAAACAAAAAAATGGAAAGAAAAACTATCAGACTTGGTAAATTTACAAATTACTGAAGTTTCAGTTGTAGTTAAAAACGTTTCGAATTGGAACAAAATAGATGCTCTAGAAAGAAAGCAAAAAAATTAATACCAGATAAAAATTGGCCCTTAAAAATGGAAAATAAACCAACTGAAACTAGGACGAAAACCACGAACCCAAAAAAAATGAGAAACTTTTGAAAAAAAAAATAATTGAGCCTGAAACGGGCTTTACCTGATTACTACTTAAACTATAGTCGTTTTTTTAAACTCTCAAGAAATTGAGCTTTTCAGAAGATGAAGGAGTCCAAAATATATGAAATGAGTCTTGCGATCAAAGTTGTTTATGGAAAAAAGTCTATTGCCCGATTGCAATACACTTGCTTATCGCAATAGGAAAAATAGGAATGAAATTCCAAATGTTTGGGAGCGAGTTTGCATTAATTTAAAATCACTTACAATCATTAAGCGAAAAGAATCATTAAGCGAAAATTAAGCGAAATCATTAAGCGAAAGAATCATTAGAGAACGAGCAATCTGCCAGTTATAACCATCATGTCAACAAACTTTCAGTGGATTTAGGAAGATCAGTTCTGGGTGAAAAGTTAGCTTTTGCGTGTAAAAAGATTTTGAAATAAGATTACTTCTTTTTAATTCATTTTGTCTGTCCGAAACATTTACAATTGAACTACGTGATATACATACAAGTGGAGTCTCTCCCTGACGTCTGAACAAGTGAGTTGGTAGAGGTTGTTCTTGTCGAACTTCTTAAACACTGTGCCCTTCAGCTCCGCAAAGTTATTCGACATCATCACAATCAAAAGACTCTTGTTGTGTGAGTTGAAGGCCACGCTGCAACAGAACAAGCAGAATAAAATTTGAACAAACTCTTTTTAAATATAAGATACGATTGCAGAAAATCCAATGAATAGGCTTCAAAATGTCACTGCATTGGAGCAGGATGGTCTTCTGATTGTTTTTGGTGGTCCAAACATTGAATAAAATAGCTTTTATTTCAGTAGTTAATCTTACGCTTTAAGCTGTCATGTTTGTTGAACAGAAATAAAAACTAACATTATAATAATTAGGACTACTTATAATGATTAATTATAAATAATCAGGCCTACTTCTATTCTTCCTAAAACTGAGGGGTCTTTTATGTTATAGGACCCAAAAACTGATATTTTCGCTATTTTGAACGTTTGATCAGAGACGCTTCAATTGGAATCGGTTGAACTGAAAATCAGCTTAAAACAATCTAAGTTCTAAAAAAAACTATAAGCTCAATCAACAGTTGCATAATTTTAGACCGTAAAACAGAAAGGAGCCAAACTGACTTAACTAAAAATCAGAAACTGACGATAAAATCAACTTAAAACAATATAAATTTATAAAAAAAACTATAAACTCAATCAACAGTTTCATAATTTTAGGCCGTAAAACAGAAATGAGCCAAACTGAATTAAATAAAAATGAGAAACTGACTTAAGTGTGGTGGCCTCAAGTAGAATGATGACAGAGTGAAGACAGATGTACATGAAGGCCAAGTAGAACTGCAGCAGGAACTTCAGCAGAGCCCTCACAGCTGACACGCTCACTGGTTCTATCTACACACACAAACACAACTCACAATAATTTAAAAATCAAGTTTTACTCTCTTTTCGCAGTTTGTTAATTTTTATGATTATATTTTTTATTTAACAAACACAAACAATAAATTAAAAATTAAGTTTTACTCTCTTTTTCGCAAATTGTTAATTTTTATGTCTATATATTTTTTATTTCCTTGTTTTGTAGATTTTTTGATCAAGTTTTTTTTGTTCTAGATAACTGATGATGGCGGAATTGCCGAAAACATTTCAATTCAACATTGATCCGACTTGTTTTCCAACAAATTAAATACATTTAATATTTCATTAACATGGAACATAAAACCATTATACAGTTGCTGTTGAAATCATCCAGAAAAATTAAGCAAAAAATGGAAAACTTCGAACAATTTGAAAAAATGTTGAGCAGCCATTCCATGAATAATTTGAAAACAGATATTGAGTTAACCTAAATTTCTATTTTTCTACCTGGATATGTATAGCTAACATAAGAACTATCGGGCTGCTCACACACTTTAATAACTGTCTCTGCGCTTTAAAAACCACATAAGAACCCGTTTTAATCGTACCAACAACTTGATTTTGAAATTGGGGTTTGGGGGGATGAGATAGGGAGGGAAGAGGTAGGTTGGGCGGGGGGGGGGGCAGTTGATTGGAAGGAAAAAGGCAGTACATGCCTGTGATATTCTGGTGGCAGTCCAGAACACAGTGTCCATCAAATCCTGTCCAAGAGTGGAAAAGAGTCTGTCGGCCACATCTAACATGTTGAAGATAATGTACACCTTCAAAACATTCTGACCACGCACCTGCACAACACAAACAATCATAATGTAGTTCCTGCGAATCTCAGTGGATATATCAGAAGGCCTTAACAGTCATGTAGAGGATAGTCCGTTTGTATTATCTACCCACATTCCAGACTGTTATTTTGTTGAGCGAAGCTGTTTTTTTTTGCGACTCAAGGCCGTTTTTTTTGCGTCTAGAACTTTCATATGGTACCACTATTGCAGCCGAAATTGTTCAGCTAGAGGTCAAGTCCTCACACATTATCATTGCCATGGCTTGGGATCAAGTACTCGATCTGACGATTTCAAAGTGAACGCTTTACCACTATCTAATTAACAATCCCCCCTATTGTATTTACTAAATAATATCCACCCCTGTAAATAAAACCAGTAATTTTGCACTAGAGCGTTCTATGTAAATTCGAATTTTGCTGCATTCTGATTGGTCGAAAGTTCGCTGCAAGTAATCTAATTAACAATCTTCCCGAAACTCTGCTTTATGAACTTTCGATGTTATGTTCATTTCAGTTTAATTTCCGTTGATGTCTAGACAGTTGCTCTTTTTAATTAATTCTGTTTGTCCGAACTTTTTGCACTCTCTATACTATTGCAGCCAAATTTGGTCAGGTTGTGGTAGACCTGAAGCTAGAGGTCAACTGAAATCACTCAAACAAATCACAATTACCAAATTGATCTAGCTTAAATAGCTCACATTCTCCGTGGGGTGTGCAGGAAAATTTTTGACAGGCGAGGGCTGTTTACTTAGTTTTTGTTTTCAACTTTTTCAATAAGGGTAGCCAAAAGCTCAGACTGACCAAATTTGACAAAAAATTGTACAATTAAGACAACTTTTATTTCAAAAAATGCTGTTTTTGAGCGGTTTTGACCAATAATAATAAAAAAACTCTACTCGCCTGACCTTCTCAAATTTAGAATAAAAACGACATAACGGGATATAAATGGCAAGAAACACGAACCTGATGATAGAGAAAAGACAAATCAATCCACTGCAAACTACAGCAACAAAACAGTGTCAACAGAACTCTAACAACGTCGCAAATCTGAGCTGGCTCCAAAATGTTTTTCCTCCGAGATGAAACGCCTATTTTTGAAGGCCGAAAAAAGTGCCTTAAAATTGACTTGATAATCAAAAACAACCGAATGGGTAACGTGGCAAGCACAAACATGAACGAATCTAGGGCTAGCAAAAATCCGTAATAGAAAAATCGTTCCAGGTGAAACGGAATTCTGATCAAAGTGTAGACTTTCTCAATTTTCTCTTCGTATTTTTCATGTTCGTTATTTAGCTCGTATGTATTTTTAATTTCCATTTCGAAGTATTTCATGTAAGACATGTCGGCTAAATTTGAGACCAAATCGTACTGGAAATTTGTGCTTTTGACGTTTTCACTGTTGTAAGTTGCTTTGAGCTCACGGGTGGTTGAAAAGGCCGCCATCTTTTTAAGTTGCGGCACAAAACTACTCTGAAATATAATGATAACCGTAGTCAATAGACAGTACAAAAATAATTACTTTCCTCATTAAACGACCGAACCTGAAAAAGTTATAAACTTTAGAGGATTTAGTGAGGGCGCGAATTTGATATTGTCAGCGCCCAAAGTGCCCCCTCTATGAAGCTCTTTTTATGTCCGACCAACACAAAAAATCCGTGATGAGGTAACTGAGCCGACAAAGTATAAGCAGAGAAGAAATAAGCCAACAGTGCAAATTTTTGAGAAAAAATCACATTCATACAAACTGAACAAAACAAGGTCCGGATGGGTCTCAAACTCCAGACCTTGGGGTGCCAAGGCAACAGCATTACCTCCAGAACAATCGGGAAGAAAACTGGAAGTTATTGGGATTCAACAAAAAAAAACAGTTGAATTTCTTGCAAATTTGTTTAAGAAAGTTGTTAACGGGAAAAGGCCATTTTTAGTTTAAGCGGATAAAGTAAGGGCTTGAATTTGATTTTGTCAGCGCCCAAAAAGCCCCTATATGAAGCTTTTTGTCCAATTAACACTAAAAAGTGAAAACCAACATAATCTAAAATTCAAATACGAGCGCGCAAACAAGTCGATATTTTCAAGTATAGGCCAGCTGAGCTTCGCATGATTAGCAATACAAAAAAAAATATTTCAATCTTCAGAGAGTAAAAAACTGGAATACTGGGAAAATGTCGTATTTTTCGAACAAATTCAAAATACAGCCTAAACCCGTCATTCTCTAACAGATGATTCACAAAAAAAACTTATAACACAAGCTGGAAACAGGCAAGCAAATCATTTGTGAAAAACATGGATGTGATTTTTCTTCAAATATTTGCCGAAAAATTTCAAAGCATTTGATTATGGTAGATATAAAATAAAACGACATGACTCCATTCATTTCATTCTACAATCTAAGAGGAGCAATCGTTGTTTTCAAAAAAAAAATGATGCAAACTTTCTGAAAAATCCATTGCCGGCACGATTACAGGAACACATCAAAAGGATTTTCAACTGCATTGAAAATTGCTAGTATCAAAAGCAAAATTCGTTGAAAGAGACTAAGCCGACAAAATAGGCAGATAACCGATAGCAAATAAACAGCCAAACGATACGCCGATAAGTCTACAAAAAAGTTATTGACCGGATTAGTACCCTGGAAAACTTTAGGAACGGCCAAAAAAGTTTAAGGGCAAACAATAGTGTCCCACTGATGGAAAAATCTTGGAGACAGAAGAAAAATATCTCGATTAATATGAAAGAATGCAAAAGTGCAATAACTGTTAATATTTTCATTTTTCATAGAACAACTAAACATCACCGTAAACTCCAACTTTTTCAATGCAACTACCCTAATTTGAAAAAAAAACCACGGAGTAAATCAGTTGGAAAAGTGTCAATGAACGCAAGGAAATAAAAACAAAGCCACCAGACAGTTGGAAAATAGTCGATGAACGCAAATGAACAAAAAAACTGATTTCTTTTTTTTAAAAAATCTCACATTTCAAGCTTCATAAAAACACTTATGATTGACACTTTCATAAAATGAACCCAACTTGAAAAAACTGGATTTTGTAAAAACTTTTTTTCCGCTGGGAAATCTGAAAAACATATGCCACTTTCGAAAGTAGAAGTAGATCGCGTGTTTGGTGACCTTTATATTTTTGCTGTTCGATGCAGGTGTTTCAACAAAAGGAAATTACATCAAAAATCAAGTTTGAGCCTGAACAAATTTTCAGTTTCCTGAAAAAAACCCAACGCTACCTATAAAAGAATCTCCATTACGTTAAAAAAAATGAACGATCCAATTCTGAAAAAACTTAAATATGCCCTTAAAACTTTTCGAATTTCAAGAATTTGAGTGTGACACTTTTTTTGTTTAAGTTAGCTCATGTTGAGAAAACTGGATCATTGTGCATTTTTTTTATTCCGCTGAGAAATCTTGAAAGTAAAATTCACTTTCGGAACTAGAAAACCATCACGGTTTTCGTGACCTTAACAATTTTGCTATTCGATATGTCAGCGAATGATAGTCAAATAGCAAATGTTCAAATCTGAGCTTTAACAAATTGTAAGACTTATGCCCGAAAGAAAAGATCATCTATATCAGTCGAAATCACTTCGTTCATCGACACGTAAACGACTCATAACATTGAAAAACTTATTGACCTTTGAAGAAACTGAAGATGTCATTCAAAATCAAATCACTTGTCATCTTAGACATGGCTGTTACCTTGGCAACAAAAACGCAGAAGAATCCGCTGAACTTTATTTTGAATCAAACTATCAACTGATTCAGTGATTCCAGGAGGCACTTTTTACCCTGAAAAAGCCATAATTAGATATGGAAAATCGCACGCGAAAAATAATGGGAAATTCACATCCCTCACAAAAATTAAAGAACCGCCCCTGATTATAAACTCGACTTGCTCAGCCATAAATACGCGACATAGATTTGCCATGTGCGCTTGAATAGTAAAATACCTGATAAATACATCGTAGGAATTAACGATTTTTTGTTACTGCTTTCAAGCTTCATATTTGAGCAAGCTGTTCTTTCAAAATAACTAGAAGGACGGTCGAGCGTCGGACCTTAAGTCTACTACTAAAATTCACGACTTCAAGTCAAAACCATTTCAAACATTTGAGTTAAGCGATTGAAAAACTTATCGTCGGACTTTCATTCTAGATCCAGGCCTACGGTATCATCTAAAAGACGCTACGCCCTGATAAAAGAAGCAATTTTGATATACTAATAACTTGCTGCAAGTTGCAACTATACATTTTGATTCTGCTCCCTTTGACCGCTCGGTCAATAAAATAAAACCTGTCTATTCAAATTTGAAAGACTTAATTTACCTCCATATTTGAGAGAGAAAGCAGAATTTACCAGTTCATTTACACAATTGAAGATCTCAAGTTGCTTTTGGTTATACAAACGTTCGTTCTTGATGACCGACCGGTCATATGAATCCAACAGACTTGCATCCGCTTCAATGGTATGAAAATTTACCGGTCGTCTATTTGTTCACGCCAGACGACACAAACAATCTGTTTAAACTCTTAACCTATAAAGTCAAAATGACCGCTAGGTCATTTTACCATATGAAGTAGCCAAATCAAGTTTAATTCTGCAAATAATTTTTATGATTTGCTAAGAACATGTGTAATGAACTTTAAGAGAGCACTTAGTACGCTTTTCATGTTTTTATGATAACTTAGTAAAGTGGGATTATTGAGAGCTATATTTGAGGAACGACTGTATCTATATACGCAAAAAACGGCAAGATTGATTAATTATTGCATCGTATGAAGTCATCGATATTGTATGCCAATGCTTTTCTATTTTATGGCTACGACCATCTGAAAGATCGGGAAAGAACTATGAAGTCTTTTCTGTTATACGACCGATAATTATCAAAAGGTTAATTGAGCTTCTGTTTTTATCGATACAAGATTCCTTACCATTGATATCAATTTCGACCGATCGAATTCGAGGATGAATTCAAGTATCTTAAAAGAAGACCACAAGCAATCCAGTGTAGTTTAAATCTAAAGCTGTTCGATTCTTGACGTGGAAAAGTTAAATTGGGGTAAAAAAAATCAGTGCAGAGAATACGTCTTTTTGGACACATGAGCTAAAAATAAGAGTGTTTCGCTTAAATTACGAACTGATTCAATCCACTATAAACACTGAAATCTAAGCCACCAGTCTCCGCTATGCAACATAGCCAAGGGACAGTTGTTTGTGTGTCAATGAGCCGAAAGAGTGGCAATGTTTGTGTGTCAATAAAAAAAATTGGTATGAACGGAAAAATATTCCACCTTGAAGATCTTTGATTTTCCAGAAAAATAAAAAAACTCTTGAATAAAAAAAACAGGATCAAGAAAGAAACATGATATTCTGCTCTCTGCTGGGAATTCTACAAAACTAAATCCCAAAAACTTGAAAAAGAAAATCAAAACTCAAAGAAATCAACTAAAAATTAAATTTGTAGCGTGAAAAACGTTTCTAACTTTTCATTCAGAAAAACATATACGCGTATATTGATTCGTCTTAATTTGGAATTGAATTGCGTACTTTTTGGTGAAAAACAGCTTTAGAAAATTAGGCCAAATACTAGGGTGCGACTTACAAAAAAGACGAGACAGAAAATATAAATTTATACTACTTTAATAGAACTTTAAAATATATTAAAACTTTTGTCTTTCAAATAACAACTCACATCACAGAAAACTCAAACTGTTTCAATAAAATTAACCCAATTTGAGAGAACCAGATTCATAAGATCATAAGATTTCCGCTGGGGCTGGGAAAAAAACAACATCCACCTAAGAAGGACGAGCAATTTTTTGAAAGTTAAATAGAAAGTGAGTTTTCTAATGGCAAGCCACCCAATCAGACAAAACTGCATTTTAGGAAAACGACTCAAACAATGTAAATATCAGTTTATTTTTCGAAAAAAAAAAATTAAATTACTAGCAATTCATGTTTTGAGCACCCAAAAAATTTCAACAGTAGCAAAGCGGAGCCTTACACCACGTGCAATTCAGAAGCAAATGACAATTTTTACTCAGACGCGAAGCTGCACTTCAAAAAAAGCGAGAAAAGGGTAGCATATAGCTTTAGAAAAGTCAAAAAATGAAAATAACAGGAAAAGTTAAAAAAACTCTGCTATAAATTATTAAAAATTCTGCTGGCATCGGACCCTCGATCCAAAGTCCGCAAAACAGGCCGAATGCTCCTTATAACAATAAGTAAACAAAAGAGGCCCAGCTATAATTGGAGGGACCAGGTGGTTAAGCTTTAAAAAACTGATGGATAAAGGTATTGCGCAATTTCGAAAATGTGTCGAAGTGTTAAAAAATTGACACTTACTCAGTCAATTACTGAATTCTATCATTATATAAGACAACAGGTTTTTCAAGGGAGATTAAAATATCTCAGTTTTTTTTTTTTTTAATTTTAGAATTGGCACGGTCGTTTTTGGGG